TATGGTGAAGAATTCACCAAATCCAGCACAGTTGGTCCCTGACGCATCCTGGTAGCAGGATTGGAATCAAGCAGGATTAGCAGGATTGGAATCCACTTGTCGTTTCCTCGGGTCCTTTCATCTCGCTTTCCTTGGGTCGCAACCGTGGCTTCGCGAGCTTGAGTCGTCCTTCCCTTCGTGTCTCAAGGCCCTTCTCTTCTTCGTAGGTGTCCAGGTCCCTTCAATCCAGGTATAAGTATAAGGTTTTCTTGTTTGTTCCCGAATGCGTAGCGAAGGGTTCCCGTTTATAGTTGGGGGTCTGGGGGTTGGAGCTGTGTTCGCGTGGCTTGCGTCGTGTCGTCGTCTCTCGTCGTCTCTCGTCGTCGTCGCGTCTCAAATTTGCTGCCATTGGGGGAAGCTTTTGCAAGTGACTTTGCATGGGCGTGTCACGTGTCAGTTTGCGACGCTATTCCATTGTGATTTGCATGACAACGACACGTCGCGCAAGAAACGTGATGCATTTCGCTGCACAGGCGCAGCGTTTTGTGAGATCCGCAGATTGCCGCGCAGTTCCATTGGGATTAGCGTTTGGAGAGTCGTGTTTTTGGGTGTTGGATGTGGCCGTGCCATTGGGATTTGCGTTTCAGGGTGTGGCATCGAAGCTCGGTTTTCGTGACAAGTCTCAGCTGAAATGGCGATTTTGGTGGATGGGAGTGTGCTCAGAACGGGTCGAAATCATTCCAAACGTGTGGTGTGGTGCAAATTTTGTTGAAGCTCACATGCGATGGTATTGTCACTTTTCGTGGCAGGCGCAGGACTTCGTGCGGGTTTTGAGGCGTGGAAGTGCAATTCTCGTGGCAGGCGCAGGGAATCGTGAGGTTGCGAGGTGTGAGGGAGGTGAGATTTCGTGGCAGGCGCAGTACTTTGTGCGCGTTAGACGTGTGGACGCGGAAAGATTCGTGGCAGGCGCAGGGAATCGTGAGTTTGTGAGTTGTGGTAGAGGTGAATGTCGCTGTCACATTGGGATTGGCGTGTGAGCGGATGTTGTTTGGAGGGGCTGGAATCGCGAAACTGCTTGGCAGGGCTGCGTGATGTGTGTGCTCCGATGGGTGTTTCCGCTTGACTTTTGGAGGAAGTCTCGTACGAAACGCTCGTTTTGCAGACTTTGACGTGTGAGTTTTTGAGGAAGTCTCGTACGAAGCGCTCCTTTTGGAGACTTGACGCGCAACCCTCTGCAGAGATCGTGCGCGTCGAGTGCGCGAAATGCAGGCGAGAGTGCGATTTGTCCCATGCGCACGCAACCCTCTGCGGAGATCGTGCGTGTCGAGTGTGCGAAATGCAGGCGAGAGTGCGATTTGTCCCACGCGCGCGCAACCCTCTGCGGAGATCGTGCGTGTCGAGTGCGCGAAACGCAGGCGAGAGTGCGATTTGTCCCGTGCCCGCGCAACCCTCTGCGGAGATCGCGCGTGTCGAGCGCGCGAAATGCAGGCGAGCACTGGCGACTTTGTAGTACAACTTTAGTACGCGGGGTATCTGGGGAGCTGGAAGATGAGAACTGGTGACTCGATAGTACAACTTTAGTACGCGGAGCAATCTGTGGAGCTGGAAGCTGAG